TATTTAGCCTCTGGTGGTAATCCAATCGCTTTCATGATATTTCTACCCTAAAAAATAGTTCTTAGATTTTAATCTATGAAATCCAATCAAAACCATACATCTAAATTGGGCCTTTAAAAATACATTTTTGGGACACTGTTTATAGAAAAAAAATTACTGAAAAGCTTGACTACATTAAAAAAAAAGTTCGATCAAAAGAAAGCAACCTTGAATAATTTACCCTGAACTGTCCAAAAAACGAACACAATATAGAAAAAGATTTTGTTTCCAGAATCTGTTAATTTCTGTGTACATAATTTTTTCTTTTGTTTATTTTTGGGTGAAAAAAAATCACTGCTGCCGTTGAAAGGAAACTAGCAACAAATATAGTTACTAGAAGCCCCAAGGTCACTTGAAGCAGGACCATGACAAACTTTAATAGTAAATGAAGAAAACTGGAACACAAATGCAATTTCACTGAGAGCCACCATAACTCATGAACAAAAATGAGGCCTTCCGATGTTTGTTTCTGTGAGAAAATAAATGGAAAAAAAATGGTAGAAAGCGAAAATCAAAATAGAGCCACAACGGGTAGGAAGGAAGGAAGGAGGCAAACTAAAAGAGAAATTTAAAAAATTAAAGGGAAGGGAAGAAGAATGGAAAGGGAACTAGGGGGAAAAGCAAGTAAAATATGTGAAATAAAATATAAATTTTTGCTTGAGTATTTGTTCATTGAAAATACTTCCTATGTCATCAGAGGTAGCAACAGATATAAAAAACATATTCTTGTTTTTGATGCTTGTGGGTGACTAGTATTGTAAAGGAAAAGAAAAGGGTTTTTTGTTTTGTTTTGTTTTGTTTGTTTTTTGTTTTTTTACAGGGATGTGCCTCTGTAGATAGAACTAGAAATACCAGGGGAAAAAAGTGAATAAAGGATTAGAATTTTGTTTCAACAAATTTAAAGAATTCTGAAATTCATTGTTTAAATGCAGTGTTTCTTTCATTCATGGCACAGCACGGAGGGGCCAGTAGTGATGTGGAGATTTAACTACTGCTAGTGTCAGGGAGCCTTCTTTAAGACGGGGAATGAGGGAGGCAGACTGCCTCCGAATGTCAGCAACTCCAGGGTCCGCAGCAGAAAGCTGTTTGCTCGAGGTCCTGTGCTCCCTTCCAGGGCCCGCTGCATCTGGTACTGAGGGAGGTGGGACGTAAGGGTTCCCAGCTTCACCCAAAGGTGGGGACTCCGTCTCACAATATTTGCTTCCAAACTCCCTTCCAGGGCGGTAGAGACTGTTGGCCCTCACTCTAGCTCAGTTTCTTCCTCTGCCCCAAACAGCTCTTCCCTCCTT